CGACGATTTTATATTGATACACTTCTGGTAGGGCACGTTTAAAGATAATTCATTATTTTTATGCTACTGGCTCTAATCTTTACTTAATTTGCAGCTTTGCCCATTGCGAAGGCCTATCAAGTGGGAGAGCGCATCAACTTTCGCATCTCCATCTGCTAAAAGCTTTGCGTTTCCTGTGGTTAGTGGTCAAACGATGGAACTAGCTATAGCTCAATTCTGGTCAAGTGGCCTTGGAAGTCGTGAACCAACTATCGTTGACTTTGAGGTAGGAACTGAGAATTATATGTGCGAATATCAATGCTGTTAAAGGCATTTGCATAAGGAATGTAAAATGCTTGTGTTTTGTTTTATCTTTTGTGTCAACCTGTGTCAAGTAAACTCTAGTTATATTTTTAGACCTGTTCTTCCCTCCTTTTTTCCCTACTGGTCCTGACTTTCCTTTGAGTTCTCATGCTAGTTTATCTTTTGGCCTATGTTAATACATTGCATAATTCTTTTCACAATTTAGTTCCCTTACCAGTTTTAGCCTCTTTAGCTGTGGATGTTAGGTCTCAGGTTTAGCAATAATCACTCCTGTTTGTGCATTCTCTTATAGGAGTGGTTTTGAAAACGAATGTCTTCATGTTGTTACAGCTTATGCTGTGCGCGAAGTTCTATGTTCAGTTAACTCATGCATGCTTACTATATTGAGTACATTGTGACTTGTTAGAAATGAGTTGACGGAAGTTACGTCTGGTACTTTAGATTGAATTCCATGGAGTTGGTGTCGATAAAGAAGAATTGTTACTTGATGGAAGTGAAGCACCAATAAAAGTTGAAGCCGAAGCACTATTGGCATCTGAAAAACTTGTTCCCATAGCTGTCCTGAACAAGGTACGGTGTATTTTATGATTGCATCTTCTCCTTTTTCTGTAATTGCTTGTAGAATTGCTTCTGGACAGTGTTTTGTTTTAACTGCAGATAAGAGTCCCATATCAACCTATTGATGCACAACTAAAGACTCTATCAACTGGCCGTGATAGACTACTGTCGGGCAAGCAGATACTAGCATTGACCTTAACGTGAGTTATGCTTCTGCGTTCTTGCTGTTGTTGCTCTTACCTATCTCTCTATCAAATTTCTTTCAGCAATCTCATCCTTTGGTTTCTGCAGCTACAAGTTCAAATTAGAAGATTCAGCTGAAGTAAAACCGTATATACCATTATTGAACAATCGCATATATGACACAAAATTTGAGTCCCAGTTTTATATGATCTCTGATGCCAACAAGGTACTCTTCAAACTGCCACCTAATAGGATGGGTAATACAAGTATAGATAAGCTTCAAATTCTCATTGGCATTGTCAACTAAATATCTGATACATTTCACAAAATTTATGACTCTCTAGCTCGGTCATGTACTGTGAAAACGCTTTTCGGCTTTTGTGTCTAGCAAATTTAGTTATTTCTTACTTAAATTAGGGTATTTTCTTGCCTTAACATGTTGTCCTGACATTCTTTCAGCGTGTATATGCAATGGGTGATGTTTATCCTGAGTCTTCTAAACTTCCGAAGGGAGAATATAAACTTCAGCTGTATCTGAGGTTTGTGCTACATCTTTGGTGGTTGCAGTTTGTTTTAAAATTTGAAGAGTAGAGTTTGTACATACTAATCTATCGGCCGAACCAATCTTCTCAACATGACTGGTTGACAAGTTCCTGTAAACTATATTTTTTTCATGGTTGACAACTATATTTCACAATGTGTATTTTCGTATTTAGTCATCTACTCTAAAAGCTTATTGGTTTCACCAGGCATGAAAATGTGCAGCTGCTGGAAAAGTTGAAGCAGCTCATTTTGTTTATTGAAAGAAATATGGGGGTAAGATACTGAATTACGTTTTGCTTTAAATTGAAAAAGGCGAGATCTAACAAAGTTGGAGTTAAATCTTTGTGTGTGTTTTTATGTCAATATTTTTCTTTTTGCAACATTAGGATGCAAAAAGAGCTGATTTTTTTGTCATTTATTTTGCTGGTGATGCAGGAGATTCGGCTGAATTTACATTCTGAACCAGATGGTCCGTTCACAGGAAATGGTGCCTTTAAGTCCTCTATTCTAATGCCAGGGTACACTCTTTTGGCTCACTTACCAGTTTATACTTTTGTGGCTGCTGCGTTGGTTCTCTGAACATGTTTATCACCCTGCAGGGTGAAGGAAGCGTTTTATCTGGGCCCACCAACAAAAGACAAGCTACCCAAGGTTTAGTAGATTGTTGAAGTATAATTGGTGTTCTGATGTTCTGATGCATATCCCGCGTAAATGTACAATTTTAACTTCACCTGCAGAATACTCCCCAAGGATCTGTGTTGGTGGGAGAAATCTCATATGGGAAATTGTCATTTGATGATAAAGAAGGGAAGAATCCAAAGGATAATCCTGTATCTTATCCGATATCATATGTGGTTCCACCAAATAAGGTATCTAAAAAAACTACCATTTCTGGTCTCGCATACCTGTTAGCATAGGCTTGTGAAACTTGATGCAGTAATGCAGGACAATCTGGCTACATGAGCTCATATTTTGTGTTTAGCTTGATCTAGTCTTTCCTTGTATTTCAATTTTCTTGAACTTTATTGATTTGTTTTTTTCTTTATTCCATAGCCTGAGGAAGATAAAAAAGCAGCTTCTGCTCCAAATTGCTCTAAATCAGTATCAGAACGCTTGGAAGAAGAGGTATTATTTGCCGAAACATGTTACATATTACTTAATGGCTCTTTCTCAACTTGATGGGCGAACGTTCTATTATATTATATAATTGAATCAAGTACTTGTTGGTGAATATTGACACGGTTTTGGAACTTTTTTTATGAACACGCTTTCTTGTAATCAGGTTCGTGACACAAAGATCAAATTTCTCGGGAACCTAAAACAAGAAACTGAGGAAGAGCGTTCAGAGTGGAGAAACTTGTGTGCCTGTCTCAAGGTTTGCCAACTAAAGGCTTTCATTTTTCTTTCTGAATAGTGACTTTTGCTAGTTTAACCTTGTAAGTTTTTTAAAAGGTATGCAAATCTGAATTACTGTAAGATTAACTTGAGCATATGTTCCTTGGCAGTCTGAATACCCAAAATACACTCCATTACTAGCTAAGATCCTGGAAGGTTTACTGTCTCGATCTGATGCTGGGGACAAAATCAGTCATCACGAAGAGGTAAAGTTTTGAGTGAGTTACTATAAAAAATTGTGCACTAGTCTCTCTTATTATACATGAAGCAGAATCATCAACTTTAAAACACTCAGTAGTCTCATTGATTCTGACAAACCTCTCAAGTGTTTTGTGTAGTTGGTCAGAAAAATAAGCATGTAAGTTGAATATCTCTTCATTTTGTTCTTGCAGATTATAGAAGCGGCAAACGAAGTAGTACGCAGTGTTGACGTAGATGAGTTAGCAAGATTCTTGCTAGACAAAACTGAACCAGAAGATGCTGAAGCAGAGGTGTGTTATTATATTATTTATTGCGTTTTCTTACAAAGTTGTTTTTTTGTAGTATTCTTAACTATTTACTTCCTTTATTTGCGACACTGATAACAATACCTACTGTGTTATTTTCGAATTAGAAATTGAAGAAAAAAATGGAGATGACACGTGATCAACTGGCAGATGCACTATACCAGAAAGGATTAGCCATGGCGAGAATCGAGAATCTGAAAGTAAGACCAATACTAATATCCTCGTTAACTGTTAATTAGTCACTGATTAGAAGAGAGTAACATGTTAGCTGGTGATTAACTGATTTGCATATGAAAGTTGCTGAATATAGCGCATAGGAACTACGAATGGTGTCATGAGCATTTTTATACTGAGAAATTACGCTACTAAATTGTTTGCAGGGTGAGAAGGGAGATGAAGGAGAAGAAGAAAGTGGTCAGAGGGATAAATTCGAAGAAAACTTCAAAGAACTGACAAAATGGGTAGACGTGAAATCATCTAAATATGGTACTCTCACTGTTCTAAGAGAGAAACGGCTCTCACGACTCGGGACCGCATTGAAGGTAAAATACATTTTTCTAATCTTTATATGTACCAAGAAACTGCAAATGATGATCATATGAAATCACTTACCCCACATGACTGATGATGACGTCAGGTACTTGATGGCTTGATCCAAAACGAGAACGAGACTGCGAATAAGAAACTCTACGAACTGAAACTGGGTTTGCTGGAGGAACTAGGTTGGAGCCATTTGGTTACGTATGAGAAGCAATGGATGCAGGTTCGTTTCCCTACAAGCTTACCCCTCTTTTAGTAGTTGTTTCTACCTTCTTGTCCAATAAAAGTGCTACGTTCTTGTTCAATAAAAGCTTGTCCAGAACATATAGTGCTAAGTTCTTGTTCAATAAATGCTTGTCCAGAACATTTAGTTGGTTGTTTTTCTAAAACCCAAACTACTGTTTGATTTTCTCTGTCCTTAGAAACTGTATGTTCTTGTCTATTGATATATTTTCCAGTTGTGAATCAATAAAATTATAGTTCAATTTAGTATTTGTGTCAATGTGAAATTTGCTCCTTGCAAAAGAAGTTTTTTTTTTTTTTTTTTTTGGTTGGGAAATTGAATGATATAGCAATTTTTAGAAGCAAAATTTTAAAAAGGTATCACGATAGGCAAAATAACAAGGTCTAAAATAATTCGTGGTTTAATTAGACAACACTCAGCAGTTACGAAGATAAAACATTTTTTAACATAAAAGTGGTCATAGCATGTCATGTAACATGATAATCAGATAATGCATAGTAAACTCATTGTTTAGAAGATGTGAGTAATTTCTAATCGTCTATTAAGATGTGTATTCTCTGACGAAAAGATTTTGTGACTAATCGGATAAGTAATCTCTATCTCTAACGATGGTAAGATACGCATTCCGCATAAAGCAGGATCCACTAAACTAATCGATGAGAGAAACAAAAACAAACGAGTAACAGCCAATACACTCAGATAATGTTTGTTTATTGAACTTTCTGTAAGTGCGGATGAGGTAAGATAAATTGCGGAAAGTAAACGAGACAAGAAATTTGTTAACGAGGTTCGGTTTTTCCTACTCCCCGGGACCAAGTCCAGATTTCGATTTCACTAGAACAAGAAAGCAAATTACAACCAATTCGCAAACGCGTAAAACAAGCCCAACCCTCTTGATCTACCGCTCCCTTCTATAACGTGAAACCTTAAGGATAATCTCTACCCTTAACTAAACTCCCCTTGAGTCTAGATTTAATCAGGATAACCTAACCCTGAGCTAAACTCCACTTGAGCCTAGACTTCAAAACAAAACCACTTGATCACACAAGCACAAAACCCGCAAAACTAAGTTGCACAAAACCGCGAAACTATGTCGCACACACCCTTAGAAAGCTCTCAATGATTTGCCTCTATGCCTCAGCTCTCTTGCTCTCCAAGACGTCCCCAGCTCCTCCTTATATAGCCAAAACGATTTCCTAATCACCATAGGAGAAGATTTCCAATTTCCATAAGAAAAAGTAAATTTCCTTTTATACTTTTCCTTTTTCTCTTCAAACTCCACTTTCATCAAGTCTTCCAAATCTCTTTAAGTCCTTTTTCCTTTGTGATTCATCCTCTAAACACGCTCCAAACACATCTTCTCAAACCTTCTAGAAACCGACACTTACACAAAAACAGTCGCATCTTGACATACTTCTTGAATCATTCAGAAACTTCATCAGACAAAATCTTGTTTTACTTCTTGACTCATTCAACAACTTCATCAGACTGCAGCTACATCTTCAATCTCCCCCTTTTTGACTATGTTTGTGAACTCAACAGTTCTAACTCCAAAACAACATCACGAAACACATCATCATTCTCCCCCTGAATGAGTCACAACATGGTCAAAACTACTTAGAAAATTCTCCCCGCTTTGCAACACGAGGTTGATAGCCTAGTACACCACCTCCATAGAAGTCATCTTTCCTAACCCAAATCTTCCTGCGCCTTAAGCCTTCATGACTGGATTCTCGAATGAATCTGAAACAATTCCTCTTAATATGCCCTTGAACTCCACAATGATAACATGTAGGACCATGAAATCTCTTATCATAAGCATTCTCCATTCGATTTCTCTCCCTCAATAATCTGAAACACCTTGGCCTAATATGCCCAACAATACCACAATGATGGCAAACAGGTCGAAAAATTCGTTGAGGTGCACTCTGCAGTTCTTTACCTTTTCCTGTATCAGACTCTGTACCAGTTCTCGTAGTAGTTCTTGTACCTGACGCAGTCTCTGCCACAGTTGCTGTTTCTGACACACTTCCTGATCCAGACGTGATTTTTCCACCATAAACAAACACTGGATCCGATTTTGAAAGTTTTCCTTCAAATCCAAGGCCACACTTATCAATCTTGCCAATATTCAGAATATGATCCAACTTCTTTGTGCCATTATTAAGCATCCTCAAATTCTTTTGAGTTTCTTCAAGTTGTACTTTGGCTTGTGATGCTTCTTCTTCTTTTTCTGCAGCATATTTCTGTACTTCAATGACTTTAGCCTCTAACTTGAGTTTCTCCTTAGTTAACACTGAATTCTCTTCAACCATTTTAAGCCAATGCTCATATAAGGCTCTATAATTCTCAGCAAATTCTTCATCATCAACACTCTCTGCATCACTATCATATTCATCGTTTTCACTTTTAATTGCAGGTCCTGTTGCAGATGCTGATGCAGACCCTGTTGCAGATGCTGATGCAGACCCTGTTGCAGATGCTGATGCAGACACTAATTCAGAAACTGACGCAGAATCTATATCTGAACTAGAATTGAAAGTTGTCAAAGCCACAAAATTCTTCAGATCTTCTTCTTCTTCATCTGAATCAGTTTCAGAATCACTAGTGACAACATTCATGGCCTTCTTCTTATGCTTTTGTAGATTGGCGCATTCCGAACGAACATGTCCATATCCTTTGCATTCAAAACATTGCACATTCTTTGATGAACTTCTCAACTCTTCATCAATTCTATCCTTCCTCTCTTTTCCCTTTCGTTTCAGATATTTAGTAAACTGTCTTGACAACATAGCCATTGAATCTTCAGTTGATGTTCCCTTAAGAGCAACTCCAATGTCAACTTCCTTCTTCACTTCATCTACCTTCTTCATCTTTCCTTTAGTTTCATATGATTTGCTTAACTCAAAAGCTTGAAGAATCCCAACAAACTCATCAAAAGCCATCTCATCTAGATTATGAGCTTCTTCAACTGCAGAAATCTTTGACTCAAATTTTGCAGGTAATGATCTCTTCAACTTCTTCACTAGCTTTTTGTCCTTGTAGACCTTTCCAAGAGCAAACGATTCATTAGATATGTCACATAACTTTGCACTAAAATCAGCCACATTTTCCTCTTCTTCCATCCTTAGATTCTCAAATTGCGAAGCTAACATATCTAATTTCGTTCTCTTAACGCTTGTAGTACCCTCAAACATATTCTCCAATGTCTTCCATGCTTTTTGAGCTGATGCACATTGAGAAATCAACTTAAAGTGGCTTGAATCAATAGCATTGTAAATCGCAGTCTTAGCCTTAGAATTGCAACTTGATAGCTTTTTCTCTGCAGCAGTCCACTTATCTCTTGGCTTGAGACTTACAACTCCATCATCATCCGTAACTTTAGGAGCCTCCCAACCAAGTTCAATTGAATTCCAACAATCTTCATCAAGATTACTAATAAAAGCTTGCATACGAACCTTCCAATATCCATAATTCGCTGAATCAAGAAGTGGTGGTCTTGTCATAGACGTACCTTCCTTGTATGACTCCATCTCACACGATTCTCAGCTCTGTCTTACTTTCTGAACGATCTCCTGAACAATCTTCTGAACAATCTCCTGAACCTCACCCTGATCTACTCGAAACAAGACTAAATCTCTATCGAGAACCCGCTCTGATACCAATTGTAAGTGCGGATGAGGTAAGATAAATTGCGGAAAGTAAACGAGACAAGAAATTTGTTAACGAGGTTCGGTTTTTCCTACTCCCCGGGACCAAGTCCAGATTTCGATTTCACTAGAACAAGAAAGCAAATTACAACCAATTCGCAAACGCGTAAAACAAGCCCAACCCTCTTGATCTACCGCTCCCTTCTATAACGTGAAACCTTAAGGATAATCTCTACCCTTAACTAAACTCCCCTTGAGTCTAGATTTAATCAGGATAACCTAACCCTGAGCTAAACTCCACTTGAGCCTAGACTTCAAAACAAAACCACTTGATCACACAAGCACAAAACCCGCAAAACTAAGTTGCACAAAACCGCGAAACTATGTCGCACACACCCTTAGAAAGCTCTCAATGATTTGCCTCTATGCCTCAGCTCTCTTGCTCTCCAAGACGTCCCCAGCTCCTCCTTATATAGCCAAAACGATTTCCTAATCACCATAGGAGAAGATTTCCAATTTCCATAAGAAAAAGTAAATTTCCTTTTATACTTTTCCTTTTTCTCTTCAAACTCCACTTTCATCAAGTCTTCCAAATCTCTTTAAGTCCTTTTTCCTTTGTGATTCATCCTCTAAACACGCTCCAAACACATCTTCTCAAACCTTCTAGAAACCGACACTTACACAAAAACAGTCGCATCTTGACATACTTCTTGAATCATTCAGAAACTTCATCAGACAAAATCTTGTTTTACTTCTTGACTCATTCAACAACTTCATCAGACTGCAGCTACATCTTCACTTTCCACTATTGACCAGTCTGGCACCATAATCGAAGACTTTGATCCTTCATTTATTGGGCACTTCTCATTAATTACAAAACAAAATTCCCTCAATTATTTTGGTACTTAACTATTAACTGGTTAGCTTACTTTTGTAATCAAGTACTAGTTTGTATTAACACTTTTTCGTGCCATAGCTCGAATTCCTATCTAATTTTCCAATTCAAAAATGTGGATGTATAATTCGGTATGGCGAATTGTTTTTACTAATAAATTAATCAAAGTAAAATTAGAAGACTATTGCACCTAAAGAATGCAAGATTATATCACCTACTTCCTCTTATCATAGGTTTGGTAATATAAAAATACTGCAACTCTGTCCTTTCATGATCTTTTTTGAGATGTATACACTTGGATAATTGACCACTTTTTCCGAAGGTAGTGCTCAATTTGTGATATATAGCACAAAGGCCACTACGAGTTTTTGGCATGCCTAAGATAATTCAATGATCATTAAATCTATTTTTTTTTTTGTCAACTACACATTTATTAAAAAATTTCTTGGTTGGTTGTCCAACTAGGAGGAGAGATCATTAAATCTATTAAAAAAGTCGATTATGGTTTTTTTTGGTTGGAGTCCATGATGGTTTAAGCCTCAGAAACTATTAAAACACAAAAGGATTAATAAACTATTTTGTCGAGCCATCTTTGTTGATTTAATAACGCAAAACCATTATTATTACACTTAGGAATCTTGAACCATGCATAATTAATTGGAAAATTGTTAAAAATACCCCTTTTGGTGTGCCCTTTTTCAAAAATGCCCCTTTTAGATGTCCATTTTCAAAAATGCCCCTTTTTAAATATGAAAAATTTATAAAATTTTATTAGGTTTATAAGATACTTATGGATGGTAACTATTACTTGAAGACTCGATCCAAGTATTTATAAGTGTTATAAAGTGTTTTTAAAGGTTTTACAAGATATTTTAAAGGTTTTTAAAGGTTTTTCAAAGGTTTTACAAGATATTTTAAAGATTTTTAAAGGTTTTTCAAAGGTTTTATATACTTATTTGTGTATGTTTTAATAATGTTACATACACAAATAAGATTTTAGATACTTATTTTGTATATGTTTTAATAATGTTATATACATATTTGGGTAAATCTTATATTTTATGAGCATTTTTTATAAAGTTTTAAAGAAGAGGCATTTTTGAAAAATGGCATTGAAAAAGGGGCATTTTTGCAAAAGCCCCTAAATTAATTATACATTTTCTTTTGTTCTTGCATTAAAATTGAAAAGAAACACAAAAGTTTGATTTTTTTTTTTTTTTTTTTTTTTTGATAACCAAGAGGTTAGGGACCGAAACCCTTAATCCCCCCAAGGTCCGGGGAAGACCAGGTGAAAGCCCCTGGCCAAATGGAAATGACTAGCACTTTCACGCTTGAGGGGAATCGATCTCTGGCCTGGACCAACAGGGCGACTCCTCTTCAAGTGAAAGCCACTAGACAACGACCACTTGGTTAAAGGTTCGGGTTCAAAAATAAACACAAAAGTTTGACTTTTCAGGCTTTAACGATTCAGTCTAAGATTTTAGAAGACTTTTAAGATCACCGGCACAAATTCTACGACGACGATGACACCTTTGGCTCATGCCCACCGTTTGGCTGTGACCATCTCAGGTTACATCTTCGTTCCCTTCGCAAATCGCAATTGCAACCCAAACAGGTCTAAAGTCAATAAGTTAACACTAACATTTCTTACATAATCCAATATTTACTCACGAGTTTCATCATTTGTTATACTAATCCAAATCAAAAACCTAAATTCCACAATTTCCTCCACAAATTTCAAGATTAGGTAGCTACATCAATCGACCGTTTTGGAATTATCTTTCAGTGACAAAAGAATCTTATTATAATAGGAGTTCCGTGAATACAATATTCCAAATCAACATTGTTGGTTTTGATTAAAACAAAAAAAGCTAAATTTGTTTACCACTATGCCTTGCTAAGCAAGGTAGGTATACTCTGTTCATGCATGAAGAAATTATCTGGATCAACCGCGGTTTTAACCTTTACTAATCGATCAAAATTATCTCCAAAATACTTCCTTCCATACACCTCTCCTTCCTCATAACTATTCGCACCATGATTGTTCACACCGATATCGACATCACGGTAATTCAAGTAAGCATTTCTAGGGTTCTTGCTCACAAACCCGGACATGAAACTGTAAAGAACGTTAGCCTGATTCAAGAAACCCTTCTCTATCTCGGCAGAGTTTTCTTGCCAGGTCACCGAGTACTGAACCTTGAAAAGCTTGTTTCGGTGCGGAAACGGCGTTGAATTAACCGTAACCTCCGCCATTTTCCCACCATACGGATTAAAAACAAGCCCGATTTTCCCCAACTCAATCATCTTCTTGAACAAAGACTCAATCCCATCTCTAGGAATCTCACTCGCAACGTAATCCGATTTCCTCTTCCCAAAATTCGCTTTATCAAGATTCCGATCAAGAAACACTTTAGGATCAATCTGAGTAGCATTAACACGATTATCCCACCATAAAGCAGACTGAAACCAAGACATCTCAATACAGTTCTCCTTCTTTAAACTCAGTTCAGGAAACTCCTTACGAAGCAACGCAACAACTTCGTCTGCTCTGCCTAAAAACAGAGCCACCACAGTAGCTCTCACCGTCTTCACTTTCTTCCTTGTCGCTGGTTGAATCAACATTCTCAAAAACAGATTCCGGTCGGTTTTCGGACCAACGGATTGCCATTTGTGAACCATATCCACCGCTCCTGAATCCATATACTTCTCCACTCTAAAAACCGTAACAGTTTCTGGCACAGGAACGAGCTTGACCTTGTATCCCAAAACGACGCCAAAGCTAGCTCCTCCTCCGCCGCAAATCGCCCAAAAAAGATCCTCACCCATTGCTTTCCGGTCTAAAACCTGACCATTTACATCGACGATCTTCGCATCGATCAAGTTATCAACTGATAATCCGAATTTCCTCAACATATTACCGTAACCACCACCGCTTACATGTCCACCAACACCAACCGTAGGACAAACTCCGGCGGGAAATCCATGGACTTTGCTTTTTTCCCAAATTCTGTAATAAACCTCTCCGAGAGTTGCTCCGGCGGAGATCCACGCCGATTGATCGGCGATATCGACAGAGACATCACGGAGATTAGACATGTCGAGTATAAAAAAGGGTTTATCAGAGATGTAAGAGAGACCTTCGTAATCATGGCCACCACTTCGGATTTTGAGGAGGAAATTTAGTGTTTTTGAGCAAGTGACGGCGGCGCTGACGTGGCTATCGGAGCGAGGAGTGACGATGATCGTGGGTTTTGGTGTAAATGAAGTGTTGAACCTCCCATTTCGAATGTAAGCACGAAGGACAGAGGAGAAAGAAGGGTTTGTCTGAGAGAAGACATTGTCAGTGATTTGGGTCTGTGGAGATTTCGTCTTGTCAGAGAAACACTGAACGAATGATTCGTAGGTAGAGTCCGACGACGGAGGTGCAGCGAATGTGGAGAAAGGGAGAGATATAAGGAAGAGGACAAAGAAAAGGACAGAGACAAATGTTTGTGTTGCAATCATCGTTGTAATGAGATTCGTTGCCTCTTCTCTGTTCTGTACTTTAGCCGCAAGACAGAAAGATAAGATAATGTTTTTTTTTCCTCGTTTTTTTTAGTAATCATTTGAACTCCAATGTCTCTATCTCTTTCGTATATAATAATCCTAATTGCATATTTTAATATAAAGTTATTTACGTACATGTTCTTATTAGAGTTATCCAAATTACGTTTTAGAATGGATTGTATATGATATCTTCATAAAGTTTTTATCAAAACGTTTCAAAGTCGTTACAGACTTATCCACATCTGAAAGATTTGTATTTTTTTTGTCGGATTATGAAGCCTTATTAGTCTTTCATTTGGCGTGATACCATGGATTTTACTATAGGAAGTATTCGTTATGGTTGGTTTGTTTTCCACAACTTCTTTGGTAAATTAGCTGTCAAAAGTTTTCTGGAGGAGTATTTAGATATTCTGCATGACATATGTAATTGTCTTTTCTCGGGTTCTATCGTCTTCTTTGCCTTGTATCGGTTTAGGTTTCTGAGTATATAAAAATATTAGATTAGCCGCCGACTTAGTTTTTGAGACTTTCAACTCTTGTTCTCGGTATTGTAGTCCCCCTAATTAACTTTTGTTAAGTAATCAAATCCTTTTTGCTTGGTCAAGGTAGCTTTAGGAAAGAATCAAGGGTAATCAAATTAATTTTTTTTTATGTCTTCTACTTAATTTGGTGAAATCAAATCAAATTAGTCCCATTAGATTATTTCTATGTTTTCTGAAGGTATAGGAATTAGTCCTATTACTAAAATAATATCTAAAACATTTTAACGAAACTCTCTCGTGTTCTTTTTTTTTGGCAAATTCCTCAAAGCTATGGCCGGGCCACGCCAATGTCTGTGGTCTGGGGATAAAAAAGCATTAAGCCAACCCACTCACTAACACTTCATTGTATGCTCTGTTTCTAATGCAAATCTCAACCTTTAAAAACACTTGCAACTACTTCAGATAACTTAGAAAGATCTGAAAGAGTGAGGCTCTGTTCATCTTATGAAGAGATATCATCACTCAACAATTCAAAACAAAACAGAAAACAATCTCAAGATTCTAGAAGACATGTAAGACCACCGTCGCAACTACGGTGGCTCCTCCAGCTCGTGACCACCGTTTCGCCTTTCCCGGCTCAGGCAACAACGTTCCCTTTGCATCTGCGACCAAATTGGGTCCAAAAGTCAACACTATCATTTCATTACACAAAATTGCAGCAGAATCATCGTCAACTACTCCAAACCAAACCACAAATTTCCACAGTTTTCACCTTAAATTTCGAAAGCAGGTTAAGCTATTTTCAACAATCAGTGGTTTCGAATTCACCAGAAACTTTGACTTATCACTTCGCTCATACAAACCCAATATAGGCTTCCACATAATAAAACGAGCTTGTTGTAGAGTTCCTAGAACAGAGATACTATACAATATACAATATCCAAAACCATATATTCTATAGTGATTCACTAAAACATTACATTATAGCAAACCAATCTGTATAATAAATGATCAAATATCTTTTATGCCTTACTTTTCAAGGTAGGTATACTCTGTTCATTCCTGAAGAAATTCCCGGGATCAACCGCGGTTTTGATCTTTACTAATCGATCGAAATTCTCTCCGAAATACTTCCTTCCATACACCTCTCCTTCCTTGTAACTATTCACCCCATGATCATTCACACCGATATCCACATCCCGGTAATTGAAGTACGCACTCCTAGGGTTCTTGCTCACAAACCCAGTCATGAAACTGTAAAGCACTTTAGCCTGATTCAAGTACCCCTTCTCTATCTCTGCAGAGTTTTCTTTCCAGTTCACAGAGTACTGAATCTTGAAAAGCTTGTTTCGATGTGGAAACGGCGTCGCGTTAACCGCAACCTCCGCCATTTTCCCTCCATACGGGTTGAAAACCAGCCCGATTTTCCCCAACTCAATCATCTTCTTGAACAAAGACTCAATACCTTTCCTAGGAATCGCAGTCGCGACATAGTCCGATTTCCTCTTCCCGAAACTCGCTGTATCAAGATTCCGATCAAGAAACACTTTAGGATCTTCCTGAGTAGCGTTAACACGATTATCCCACCATAAAGCAGACTGAAACCAAGTCATCTCCGAACAATTCTCTTTCGTTAAACCCAATTCAGGAAACTCCTTACGAAGCAAAGCAACAACTGTATCTGCTCTGCCTAGAAACAGAGCAACCACAGAAGCTCTCACAGTCTTCACCTTCTTCCTCGTAACTGGTTGAATCAACATTCTCATAAACAGATTCCGGTCGGTTTTCGGACCAACCGATTGCCATTTATAAACCATATCCACAGCTCCTGAATCCATATACTGCTCCACTCTAAAAACCGTAACGATCGATGGCACAGGAACAAGCTTGACCTTGTATCCCAAAACGACGCCGTAGCTCCCTCCTCCTCCTCCGGTAATTGCCCAGAAAAGATCCTCACCCATTGCTTTCCGATCTAAAACCCGACCGTTTACATCGACGATCTTCGCATCCTCAACGTAATCCACAGATAATCCGAATTTTCTCAACATGTTACCGTAACCACCGCCGCTTAAATGCCCACCAACACCAACCGTCGGACAAACTCCGGCAGGGAATCCATGGACTTTGCTTTTCTCCCAAATCCGATAATAAACCTCTCCAAGAGTCGCTCCGGCGGAGATCCAAGCCGAATTCGAGGCGATATCTACAGAGACATCACGGATATTCGACAAGTCGAGTATGAAAAAGGGTTTATCGGAAATGTAAGAGAGACCATCGTAATCATGACCGCCGCTTCGGATTTTGAGGAGGAAATTTAGGGTTTTTGAGCAAGTGACGGCGGCGCTGACGTGGCTCTCGGAGCGAGGAGTGATTATGATCGTGGGTTTTGGAGTAGAGGAAGTGTTGAACCTCGCATTGCGGATGTAAGCACGGAGGACAGAGGAGAAAGAAGGATTACTCTGAGAGAAGACATTGTCAGTGATTTGGGATTGTGGAGATTTCGTCTTCTCGGAGAAACACTTGAGGAAAGAGTTGTATACAGAGTTGGACGAGGAAGGAGATGGTTGAGAGAGAGATGAGAGAGGTAGAGAGAAGAAGAGGAGGAAGAAGAAGAAAGGGACAGAGACAAAGGTTCGTGGAGGTGTCGTGAGCATTTTGTGAAAAATGGGATCTCTTTTTTTTTTGTTCTTGGGTCTCGTGTTCTTCTGTTCTTGTACTTATCCGTGTTTATTTATAACCGCAGGGAAGAAGAAGATCTGTTTTTTTTTTGGAAAGTACTTTTTTTTTTTTATTCGCATAACTGAAGATATAAGAGGGAATTAGGGATATGATTAGTGATTACAGATTTCATTTTTTGTTTGATTTAGAAAAATACTTAAGGAAAAGATTTTTATTTTTGACAATGGAATAATAAGAATTTAAAATCCAGATTTCATTTAAAAAATACTAAGGATACATATTTAATTCAAATGTATCTAAAACTTTATTCAGTTCGTCTACATTTATGTTCATTTGATTCATTATAGTATTTGAAGTTTCAAACATTTATTAAAAGATGATCAGTACACATCAGTATATCTATTATAATTTCTTTTCTTATTATCAGAGATTTGCATATTAATAATAACTTAGACTAGTCTTTAATATCTATAAATTAGGAGTTACTTTACTAATTAAAACGTTTATACTAGTACAAAGATGCAAATATTAGAGATTTCGTAGATGAAAAAGGACAGTTTTGGTCTAGAACCACACGGTAAAAAGTGTAGAAACGCTTTAGTACTTTTTTTTTTTTTTTTTTTTTGCATCCGATGTTCTCAAGTCAATGGTCGTAGGCTCGTAGCATTGATTGGTCGGCGTCGGTAATGTAATCCAATTGGGGTTGTGGGCTAGTGGATGGATGAGCAAAAGAAAAGTCCAACTTTAAGACTTTAAACATGTACATTGTTTTTTTTTTTTTTTTTTATGTACATTGTTTTATAAACGAAGCTTCGATTCAATCTCCTGCAACTTTTTTGTTCGTTCGTTTATCATTTTCACTTTTTGATGAAAAATAGAATTGTAGACTTTAAAGATCCTTCCATTTTGTTAACAGTCAGTATTTGTTTTATTTCTCTCTATATATTCTTCTATAGCAACAAAAATTAGCATGTGAATGGAAAAGTTTGACTAGACATTCTGAAATGCTATAAATTAAGATTTTTCAACAACCATCAAAATCAGAAAACCGCGTTACAAGTTAAACTTCTGTAATACTAATATATATGATCAAATACATTGTATATTAAAATTTTGTACACTCATTTAGTTTTCATCTTTGATGCGTCTGACTTTCAAGTCTTCTTCCCATGTTGAGAGCAAAGTCTCCTTCTGTTAAGACTTCAAATAGAAAACGATATACAAATATTATTTTGTTTGACGGGAAAACTATAGTTGCTTAGATGAGGTGCATATTTTTGTTGACGAGTCTACAATATTAGGATGTACACTAATGGGCAGTGTTTACTGTTTAGGATATTGCAAGTGTACACGTAAATCTTAAACCCTCTAAAGAAATTTCAGTTGAAATTGTATTGTTATAGTTGAAAATCAAATGGTTCAAAAGCAATATTCAGAAACCATAACGTCTTTTTTGTTCGTTTTCCTTTTACTTACTACCAAATGAAAACTGACGATACAATTACAAAATATCCAAGAATTCGTACACAAACTAATTTAACCTATTTAATATCTAAATGAACTATTAAAAAATATTAAGTAGCAAATAACTATTAATTGTTTTCTAAATGAACAAGCTGGAATTGGTTAAAAACCAAAGATTCGCCACTATTTATTGCATTTTTTTTGTTCGCTTTTATTTTCCACTTTTACGACAAAAAATCTATTGTAGACTCAATTTTTTTAAAAAAATAGTATAGTCGTTTAATTTTCTGTATCACTCTATGTATTTCCTCTATATATATATTCACAAAAATTCATGTGAATGGAACAAAATATTGACTAGAATTCTGAAAATATCTATTTAGAATTTAATTTGCATGAACCATCAAAATCAGAGATGAGTCTCATTAAAAGTTTTTGACTATTAATTTGATTACATTGTAAAATGTAGTTTTGTACACTCATTTCGTTTTCATCTTTGATGTTTCTGACTTTCAAGTTTTTTTCTTTTATTTTGGGTCAAAAAGTCCTCTTCTGTTAAGAATTTTTTAAAAGATCCAATAAACCAGTACATAAAATTCTTTTTACGAAACAATAGTTTAAAAAAGAAAAAGAAAAAGAAACTGTATTTTCCATTGATTAGATGCATACTTTGTTGTTGCTCGCGAGCTGTAATATTAGAGATGTACACGATACAATTCCATTCTCTAGTGCATTTTTGGTTGTTGTGGGCAATGTTGGGATAAAAAAGATCTTGAGGGTTTGGTTCTTTGGTGTGCGTCTATCACGTGTAAAAAATGATTAAGTTACACTATAAGATTCATTATGATAAAACAACAAAAATTATTTTTATTATTATGTTTGGTTGTTAAAGTTGAAAGTGAAAGGGTTGTATTTGTGTGGATTACATTTAAAAACGTTGTGACTTGTGAGTATGCGTTCACGAATTCATTCCACAATAACGTGTCTTTCTTCGTTTTTCTTTGACTTCTCATTACGCCGAAAAGTAACAATTCTATTTTGCATCTCAAAAAGTTATTAGTTAAGCCTTTGGTTTATAATTGTTCTGACTTATACATCATTTCACAGATTAATTCTTAAAATTCAAATGTTTGATTAACTCCTAGCATTTTTCTTCACCAGCATCTGTGAGTGCATGACCACTACGATTGCTTCCGGCATCAATATCTGTTGCTACTTCCATCAGCTTACGTCACGTGCAAGAAACCATAATGTCTTGTCGAAGTAAGTAATCAGTTTCAGGTTAATATTTTCGATCTAGAGCTAGGAAAAGCTTCCTCCACAACCAAAACGTCCACTCAGGTTAAGTAGACGGAGTGGACGTTTCTTAAAACTTTCTGGTTAAGTCACCGTATACACTTCTTCCGTCGAACGCGGAACGCATAAACTATTTATCTTCACTATCCATGTTCCATTATCAGTATTTTAACCTAGACCTGCTTGCTTTTGAAGAAAACTTATGTTCTTCTTCTGAGAGTTTTCAAGCAAAATCCTTTTAAGTTTTTCTTGTTCTACACGTTAATGTCTTTGAATGAAAATACAATGAAATATATCATGTTTTTACTAGAAAAAGAACTTCATTTTCATCTAGACTTGACAAGATCACATATACCTAACCAATCAAACACTTCACCATACTACTCTAGCTCTCTCTTTATGGCACAAAATCTTGAATCTTTCAAATAACTTCAACAGATTTAAAAGGAGGAATACTCTGTTCATCACAGAAGAAATCAAAAGGATCAACACTTGTCTTAACTCTAACCAATCTCTCGAAATTATCTTTAAAATACTTCACTCCCCAACTCTTCCCTTCCTCGTACTTACTCCTCTTACCTCCAACATACATCCCCAAATCAAGATCTCTCAGATTTATATAAGCTCCTCTCGGAGAACTCGCAACAAACTCACTCATATCATCGTAAACTCTCTCCACCCATCTCATATACTTCTCTTTCACGTCTCCTCTCCAGTAATTCAGATACTGAATCTCGAATATATTCCCCTTTCGATGCGGAAATGGCGTCTCGTAATCCGCAATCTCACTCATTTTACCACCAAATGGAGTGAAAATTAGCTGAGCATGCTCTGCTTCTGGTTCTTGCAACCATCTCCACAAATTTGAAATCGCGGTTTCAGGCATTGGTTCTTGAACAAAATCAGATTTAGCCTTGAAAGCTAACGACGCTCGTGTACGTCTACTAAGAACATCGATCGGTTCTTCTCCTAACTCAGCAAACCAAACCACTGACTCAATCCAACTCATCTCTTGACAATCATCTTCCTCCAAACCCAATTCAGGAAATTCCCGGTTTACCATTTTCAACAGATTGTTAACCGAACCAAGATACAAACCCGGAAACGAAGCTCGAACCATGTTCTTGTATCTCTGCAACATAACTCGTATGAATAAATCATCAGAGACTCTATCAGCCACAAATTGCCAACGATGAATGATCTTTAAAGAACTCTGTTCTGAGAATTTCGTGACGTTGAAGACAGTTACTGTTGATGGAACATTGATTAAACCGATCTTCCATGAAAGAACAACGCAAAAGCTTGATCCACCACCTCCACGAATCGCCCAGAAGAAATCTTCACCCATCTCTCGTCTTTCAAGAATCCTCCCTCGTGCATCGACAACACGTGCGTCTATCACGTGATCGGCTGCCAAACCGTATTTTCTCAGTAAAGTACCGTAGCCTCCGCCGCTGAAGTGTCCTCCGACGCCGACGGTGGGGCAAACACCGGCGGGGAACGCTAAAGTTCGATTCTTTTTGCCGATTTCGCAGAATAGTTCACCGATCGTGGCTCCGGTTTGGACCCAAACCGACCGGTTATCGACGTCAATTGTGATAGACCGGAGGTTTCTTAAATCGAGGATTACGAAGGGTTTGCGGGTAACGTAAGAAAGGCCTTCGTAATCGTGTCCTCCGCTTCGGGTTCTGATGTGGATATCGAACCGGCGTGCGCATTTAACCGCTGATTGAACATCGGAAGGTTGAACCGGAGTTAGGATTAAAACCGGTTTAGGTGTATCAGGAGCAGAGAATCTTGGATTCTGTATTGATGACGCTAAGACAGAGGAGAAAGAAGTGTCGTTTGGTGTGTGTATGACTCTTGAAACGATGTTAGAGTCGTTAAACCGGAGAGAGAGACATTGGAGGAAACCGGCTTGATTGGTCCGGTTAGCTGAAACCGGATGAGAACTTGATAGAAGTAAGGTAATGGTAGTGGAGAAGATCAATACATAGCTAAAGAGGCTTTGGAGTTTCATATTTTTGTTTTGGTTTCTGCAACAATGAAGTTTGCTTTTAGGTAGAAAGATGGAAGAGTGAAGCGGACAAAATATTTACTAATTTTAAATTAGGTTTTGGAGTAAGATTAAGAAAATTGAAAGTGAAAACATTTAAAGATTTGGTAGTGGGATATAATTAGAAAAGTTGTGGATAGATAGAATCACACGTCTTGATCCAAAAAATAATAGATGGATGTGATAATTGGATGGCATTTGTCATACATTGAG